ATAAACTTCTGACCTTAGAAGAACTTAATAGAAGAAGGCCAGATATATATACAACAACAGAGTGCCAAGTATGCCAGAACAAAGTTAAAGAAACGCAATCACATTTAGCATCATGCAAAGGACAACGAAGTTTCTGGAAACGAATTCAAAAGGTGACAATTGCAACAGCCTGGAAAGGGTTGAAAGAAGAAAAAAAAACATACATTCCTCCATATGTACTATATACAGCATTCTTCAGAAAGGTTGAAGCAGAAGAAATAAAAATAAGAGAAGCATTAATCAAAGGCCTAATTCCAAAAAAGATGCAAGACAGACTAATACAGCTCCTAAGTACAAAGGCAAGACAACACTTTATAGAGACAGTAGCAAAAACAGCATGAGACACATTTTATAAACAAGTCTGGAGGATATGATGTGAAAAGATTAATGAATAGGAGAAAAAAGAAGGCATAACAACCAAAATGAAAAAGAAAGAAGTAAAAAAGAAGAAAGAAGAAAGAAAGAAAAGGCAAATCAGCAAAAGATTGAAGAAGAAAGAAACCAAGCAAAAGAGAAAAAGAATAGAATTAATAAAGAAACTAGGAAAACAATGTTGGAACTTGGCATAGAAGGGAGTAGACCCTTACATTACGGACTTTAATTAGTTAGACAAGTAGCCTACTTTTGTTTGAAGTAGTGCAGCAGGTTGCACTTAGGTACCTGTCAGATGGCTGAGTAATGCTAGACTTAGTTATTAGATAAATCTATGTAATTGCAAATGTAATTTCAAGAGTCTTAATAAAGTACTAGTGTGACTGCTTAAGTTAAAAAAAAAAATATATATATTCAAACAAAATAATAATCAAATTGAACTGAACTTTTTGCCAAGTTTGGTAAAAAGTTCTGTTTGATTTGATTATCAAATTTGGTATATTATGTTTCTAACTAAGATAAAGCATAACTCGTTCAAGAGTACAACATTTTTTGCTAAGATTTTTTAGTATAAAGCACTGCAGGTATACTGACTATAAGCTGAGTGAAGCAAAGCTTATGATTAACTACATTTTATTTTGATTTATATATTAATTAAGGTGTGATAATATATATTATTTATTAATAAGTAATAGACATATGTTTTCAACTAAGATAAAGCATAACTCATCCAAGAGTACAATATTTTTTGCTGGAATTTTTTAGTATAAAGCACCAAGGTACACTGACTATAAGCTGAGCAAAGTGAAGCTTATGGTCAATTACATTTTATTTTGATTTATATATTAATTAAAGTGTGATAATACATATTATTTATTGATAAGTAATAGATATATTATTTAGTATTAGTTAGTAATAGGCATGACTATGTATATTATTGTTGATTAATAGATGTAACAATTTATTATTTATTATTTATTCTTTATTAATAGGTGCAATAGTGTATATTATTTATTCTTCGTTAATAGGCACAGTAGTATTTATTATTTTTTCTTGGTTATTTATTTATAGTTAATAGACGCAGTAGCATAAATCAGATAATATTTATTATTAGTTAATAATAAGCACTAGTTAACTATAAGTAGTAACTATTAACAGTCATCTGGTTAACTATAATCAGTGATTATTCATAGTTATCTGGTTATAATTAACCAGTAGCACAATTTAAAAATATCCTTTCATTATATATGACCAAATTTGATATTTTTATTATCTATAGCCAAATTTGATATTTTCATTATATCAATATATAGCCAAATTCAATATTTTTATTATATATGCCAAATTTATTTTATATATATAATAATAATACAAGAATATAAATATTGCTAGGAGAATAAAAATTCAGGAATTTGAGTTTACAACTTACTGGATTTAGTTTCTAAAAATATTTAATCAGTAATATATGACAAGTATTTGCTTATAAGAGCTAAGGCTGATAAGTTTTTAACTTAAATTTCCAATATTTTATTTTCGCATATACAATGCATCAATATTACTTTTGGCAAATTAAATTGAATACAAAACAGTTAATAGACTAGAGGTGCAGACAAATCGTCTCAATGATTGCTGTAACTAGATATAATATAAGCTTTAGCTAGTTATGGCTTAAGCTATAACATAATTGGAATGTTATTAGGATGTTATTGAAACAATTTATCCACACCTCTATAGGCATTAAATAATAAACTATTTTTTTGAAATTGTTATAAACAATGATATAATTTCAAGTGTATCAGAAAATTTATAAATGTACTTTAAATATTAAAATTCTATTGTATATTTATCTCCTTTTGTAAATATCAATATTTGATCTCTTTCCTTATATTGGTTTATTTATTTAATTACAACTCTTGAAATGCTTGAAAAAAATGCATTACAACTATTTTTCAATCACTTTCTAATATGTTAGTTATGCCAGTGACTTTGATATATAAAGTGACTACTGAAATATCTAGAATCTAACTTAAACTGTAAAGTAATTTAAACTATAATCAAATAACAAAAAAAAAATAAACTAAAATAAACAGAATTCTGAATAAGGTCATATTAAGCATGTTTAGAACTATCTTTAAATTCATAAAAAAAGAAAAAGATTTAAGAAAAAAAAAAAACCCTCCTATTATACTGTTCAAAGTCCTGCTATATTAAATTTATAGAATTGTCTAATAATGTATCTGAAGGTTTAAAAATAACTGTAATATAAATAAATAATTATTAACAATCTGGTCAAAATTGACTTCTTGAGTTTCTCTGCAATAAAGTAATTTCATATAAAAATTAAAACTACCTTAAGTGATTGATTTGTTAGTAATAATATACCATGCCCAACAAACAATAAAAAAAAATCAAAGCAAGCTTATGAGGCAAAGGCACATAAGTATAATATTAATATTAATAATTCTGAAGCAGAAAATTCTAATAACTTTTCTTATAATAAGGTGGTTGAGAATAACAATGTTGCAAGTATTGTAAAAAGACTTTAAGCTGCAGCAAACAATTATTATAATGATAATAATGTGCTAAAAAATTATGATAATGAAAGTCTTTTTGCTCATAATGAGTTAATTGAGATTGAGAATGATAATGCTGAAGGTTTTGCAAAAACACTTTTAAATGCAGCAACTACCTTTTATTATGAAAGTGATTCTAATAAATTCTGTAAGCCATGCTACTTAGAAAACTCTATCTGTACTAAAAAAAGAAAAAGACAGCAATAGCATGAAGCAGCAAAAGGAATGCCTACATTGTTTACCTTTTGAAATCAAGACAAGACTGCTAAAGAAGATATTGAGGTAGAATTGTCTAATGATGGATGGTTGGATGAAGTCGATGAAGATGATACTAGAGGGCTATTAGAAGATAAGATTGAAACCTCTAATTGGTATAAAAAAATCCAAACCGCACTTGAAAACATAACACTAGATATCAAAAATAAGAATGTAAATAGTGAAGTTTGGGTGTGTCTTAATAGTATTCACTTTTATCTTCAACTTATAAAACACAATCATCAGAAAATAGAAGCAAGTAAGTTGCAAATATGGCAGAGAAAGGGGTATACCATGCTAGGTGTATTTGTTCTTAGTCATATAAGTATGTTATAACCCATCAAATTCCTTATTTATATCAAGGACACCATGCTAAAATGTGAAGCTTTCTTTGGGATAAAGATATTCTTCTTTAAATCAAGTTATATGTTTGAGAAAATAAGTGGAATATTACTTCACATATGGTTATGCTATAGATAAATGAAGTTATTTTACCAGGGCTCAGATTTGTACTACTACCAACTATTTCTCTTAATACTGCAAAAAATTATCTGAAAGAGCTTGGTTATATATATAAAAGAGTAAAAAAGGTTATTTACATTGATGGACATAAAAGAGAAGATGTAGTGGCCTATCAAAAAATATTTTTAGAATGAATAAATGAGTTTGAATATAGAATGCCTGTATTTTCAGATGAGGATATGGAAGTAGAAATCTGGCCAGATAGTAGTGTATAGCTACTTATTCTTGTTACACATAATGAATGCATCTTTTCAGCTTATGATGAAAGTCGAAGTCTCTAGATTCCTGAAGGAGAACAACCTTTAAGAAAAAAAGGTGAGGGATATTCAATTCATGTCAGTAAATTTCTTACAAATGTTTGTGGCTGACTTTTGCTTTCTGAAGAAATGCAACCATCAGATATGCTTCTTAGAGAAGCTTGTGTTATTATATGCCTTGGCAAAAACAATAATAAATACTAGAAATCTGAAGATTTGATTGAACAAGTATTCAACTGTGCCATTTCTATATTTGAAGCCTGTTTTCTGAGATGTCAAGCATTATTTGCATTTGACAATGCAAAAAGTTATACTACTTATACATCTGATGCATTTGTTGCAAAGAATATGAACCTTAGTTCTGCTGGAAAACAAGAAAAAATGCACAGCACATCATATTTTCATAAAGGAATAAAAAATGATTAGAATATAATATTTCTGTTAAATTATCATATTCCTGAATTATGTGAAAAGGCTAAAGGATTAAAACAAGTTTTAAGTGAGAGAGGATTGTGGCCAGAAAAAGGATTGAAATTACAAGAAGCACAAGAATTAATAGGTCAACAGCCAGATTTTTTGGCATAAAAAGGGCAGTTGGAGGAAGCCATTATTGCAGCTAAGCATTAAATTGTGTTTTACCCCAAATTTTATTATAAGCTTAATTACATTGAGAACTTCAAGAGTGCTGCCAAATATATAGCTAGGTAAATTGTAATTATTCATGAAAAGAATTACAAAAAACTGTTCCATTAGCTCTTAACTCTGTCCTACTCCCAACTATTCACCAATATGCAAGAAAAGCCTTTCGCTATATGAATGCATATTGAAAAGGTTTAAAAGATAAAGCAGCAGAATTTGCTATTAAACAATACTGCTCACATCATCGAATTCCTGAATTTGCTTTAAGTTTAATTGAAGTTGATTAGTTGATGTTTTTTTTGTATAACAAATTTATTATTCATAAATTACTTACCCTAGTTGTGTTTTAGACAAAACCCAAAAAAAGTAATCAAATATATTGTTATAATTTCTTTTTTTAGATTTCACCTAAAACACTATGTACATATAGCTTATCACTTTTTTTCTGAGCTTTTTAAGTGTATATATATACATATATATGTAATTTTAAACAATAAATAATATGTATTTGAAGCTCAAATTATTAACTATACATAAGTCTGTGATGCTAGGTTTTACAAATCTTATTAAAGTTCAATAATGGTATTGACCTGAACTGTGAACGATTTGATTTAAATATTGAACTAATGTTTTACTAATCAGATGCCTTCAATCATACCTTTAATGTGAAATTGATAATTCAAATAACTTTTTATATAATTGTATTGGTTTAGTATCAAAATTTGCTAGTTTAATGTTGTTTATCATTATAGGTGCCAAATTTCTTGTTTTAATAGCATACTTATATATACAAAGGCAGCCAAATTTTATATTTTAACCATATACACAAAGGTGGCCAAGTTTTAGTAGGGTGGTCAAATTTAGTATATATAAGGCAGCCAAATTTAGTATATATAGAGTGGCCAAATTTAATATACATAGAGCAGCCAAATTTAATATACATAGAGCAGCCAAATTTAATATACATAGAGCAGCCAAATTGCTTGCTTTAATAATATATATAGAGCAGCCAAATTGCTTATTTAATTATAAAACTACTTTGATTCTAATTTTCTACTATTTTATTAAACCTAATTTTAAAAAAAATTTAAGACCACCAAGATGTTTAGTTTGGATAGTTTTAATGTTTTATGAAGAGATTTTTCAGAGATTGTTTTTTGTAAACAAGGATTAGTTTTTTAAATTTAGTTAAATTTATTTGTTAGAACTAGGTTGTTTGCATCATAGCTAAATTATAAAATATATTATAATTCTGGAAATTAGCAAGTCTGTCACTAAACTAATCCAACTCTCATATAACCTATGACAGCTAAGTCGAAATAGGCATGTTAGATTTGGCTAGTGGTTTATTCATAAACAAGTACTTGTCTCTTCTTTGTATTTTTTCTTTAATCTATTTTCTTACTAATCTAGCCTTCTTTTGTTTACCTCAACCTAGGATTACACTGCATCAAATCAGGATTGGAACTCTTCTATTACATTACAGTCTTGTTACATGACTTGCAGCAAATCATTAATTGGTGAGTTAGTGGTTTATAAATAAACAAATAATATAGGCAATAGTGGTTAACAATGGTTTGTTAGTTTATTATTGCACTTAGATTTTATTATAGATCAGATATTTATTGGTACTAAAAGTTTTATTTATATATGAAACAACTTGTTATTATTTTCTAGAGCAGAAATGCCCTTTATTTATAATAAATGTCTTATTTATATTCATAATCAATTTATGCTATAAATGCCAGATATTTCTTAAAAGGCCAATATGTTATTTATCACATATATAGCTGAAGTAGCAGAAGTGACATAAGTATCATAAGTATCATAAGTACTATAAGTAATATTTTTGTTACTTTTTGCATGATCTTGAATCAGATAAGGATTGTCACCTTGATTCAGGCACCTGTGACTTCAAAAATTGGGCTTACAATATATAATTTTAATTTAATATTATAAAAAAAAATATATAATTATTATTCTTTAATTTATAAGCTTTTCCAGGTAAATTTGCCTGAAAAATTATTAAAAATATACTTATAATCTATATTTTTTAAATTTTAAAATATTTAAATAAAATTTTATTTGATAATATTTAAAAAT